TTTCTATTTTTAGTAGAGACGGGGTCTCGCTCTTGCTCAGGCTGGTCTTGAACTCCTGAGCTCAAGCAATCCTCCCTCCTCGACCTCCCAGAGTCCTAGGATTACAGGTGTGAGCCAGCGCGTCCGGCCTTACAATCGATTTTTAAAATATGGATATATTTAATTGTGATGAAATACACATGATGTAAAATTGGCCATCTTAACCACTGAGTGTACGGTTCATTGGCATTGCGTACATTCACATTTTTATGCAGCCATTACCACCATCCATCTTCAGAACTCTTCATCTTTCAGAACTGAAACCCTTTCCCTATTAAACATAACTGGCCATTCCTCCTAAAACCTGGCCCTGGCAACCACCATTCTACTTTCTGTCTCTATGAATGTGACCATTCTAGTTACCTCATATAAGTGGATCATATAGTACTTGCCTTTTTGTGACTGGCTTATTTCACTTAATGTAATATCCTCCTAGTTCAACCATGTTGTAGCATGTGTCAGAATTTCCTTTTTAAGGCTGAATAATATTTCACTATATGTGCACCACATTTTGTTTATCCATTCATCAGTCAGCGGAAACCGGGTTTGCTTCCACCTTTTGGTTATTGTGAAGAGTGCTGCTCTCCCTGTTCTCAGTTGTTTTGTGTATATACTCAGAAGTGGAATTGCTGATCATTTGGTAATTCTGGGTTTAATTATGAGCAGCCATCATACTGTTTTCCATTTTATAGCTGTATCATTTTACGTTACCATCAGCAATGTATGAGGGGTCCAGTTTCCCTACAACTTTGCCAGCACTTATTATTTCTGGTTTTTTGATAGTAGCCATTTTAATGGGTATGAGGTGAGAAATACAATCGATTGATGGTTATTGATATTGTATTCTGTCACCTTGCTGAACTTGTTCATTTGCTGTAATTTTTTTTTTTTAATGTGTGGATTCTTAAAATGGTCTGTATACATGATTAGATCATCTGCAAATAGAAATAATTTTACTTCTTTCTTTCCTATCCGGATGCCCTTTATTTGTTTTTCTTCCCTAATTGCCCTGGCCAGAACTTGTAGTACAATGTTACATGAAATATTGAGATATCCTTGTCTTGTTCTTGATCTAGGGAGAAAGCTTTCCGTCTTTCACCATCGAGTTTGTAATGTTTGCTGTGTGTTTTTCATAGATGTTCTTTTGAGTGTTCGTTTTTGTTTAATATACTGAAAGGATGCTGGATTTTCTGAAATGCTTGTTCTGTATCTATTGAGATGATCCTGAGATCATGAGGTGCATTCCTCTATTAATATGGCATATTACATTGGTTGATTTTTATATGTGGGACCACTGTTGCATTTCTGGGTTAAATTCCACTTCATCATGGTCTATAAGCCATTTAATATGCTGCTGAATTTGGTTTGCTAGGTTTTTCTTTTGAGGATTTTTGAATCACAAGGGATATTGGTCTGTAGTTTTCTAGTGGTATTGTTGGCTTTGTTACTAGCGTAATAACGGACTTCACAGAATGAGTTAGCAAGTGTTTCCTTGTCTTCGCTCTTCAATTTTTTGGTAGAGTTTTGAGTATTGGTGTTGATTCTTTTTTAAATGTTTGGTAGAATCACTAGTGAAGCCATCTGGTCCTGGGCTTTTTCTTCTGTGGTAGATTTTTGCTTATGGATTCAGTCTCTTGTTATCGATGTGTTGTGATTTTCTATTTCTTGAGTCAGTTATTGGTAGTTGTGTGTTACTAGTAATTTGTCCATTTCATCTAATTGACTGGCATGCAGTTGTTCATAGCGTTCCGTTATAATCTTTTTACTTCTGCCATGTCGGCAGTAGTGTCCCTTCTTTTGTTCCTGATTTTAGTAATTCGAGTCCTCTCTTTTTTCTCTGTCTAGACAAAGGATTGTGTCATATTTGTTGATCTTTCAAAGAAACAACTTTTGATTTTGTTCATTTTCTCTGTTTTCTCTCCTACCTAGTATTTCATTTATCTCCACTCTAACTTTACTGTTTCCTTCCGTCTGCTTGCTTTAGGTTTAGTTTGTTACCTTTTTCTGATTTCATAAGGTTGAAAGGTTATTGATTTGAAAATGTTCCTCTTTTTGATATAGATGTTTACAACTATGAATTTTCCTCCAAGTAACTGCTTTCTCTTCATCCCATAACCTTTGATATGTTGTGTTTTCATTTTTATTTACTTAATTTATTTCTGATTTCTCCCTTGATTTCTTCTTTGACCTATTGATGATTTGGAGTGTTTAATTTTCACATATTTGTGAGTTTCTGAAATTTTCCTTTGATACTGATTTCTAATTTCATTCCACTGTGTTTAGAGAACATTGACTGCATGATTTCACTCTTTTTACATTTATTGAGACTTGTTTTGTGCTTTGACATAAGGTTTGTCTTTAAGAATGTTCCATGTTTACTTGAGAAGAATGTGTAATATGCTGTTTTTGGCTGGAGTGTTTTATAGATATGTTAGGGCTAGTTGGTATATTCAGTGTTCAAGTCTTCTTCATTGTTGACTTTTTGTGTAGTTCTAGGTATTAATTTAACATCTTAACCTAAATGGTCTAGTTCAGATAATACCAACTTAATTTCAGTAAAATATAAAAGTTTTGTTGCCTCCCTCCTCCTTTGTGTTGTTATCGTGATACAAATGACATCTTTCCACATCATGTGCTTGTCAGTACAGATTTGTAATTGTTGGCCTTTGTAGTTGTCCTTTAAATCAGACAGGGGGAAAAAAACCCAAAGTATATTTGTACCTTCTTTTATGTTTACCTATCTATTAATATTTACCTTTACTGGTGCTGTTAATTTCTTCTTGTGCATTTGAGTTTCTGCCCAGTATCTTTCAGACTACAGGACTCCTTTTAGGATTTCTTACAGGGCAGATTTGCTAGCAACAGATTCTTTTAGTCATTGTTTATCTGGCAATATCTTATTTTTTCCTTCATTTTCTAAGGATAGTTTGGTTAGATCTAGAATTTTTGGATGACAGTCTTTTTCTTTTAGCACTGGGGATATGTCATACCCCTGCCTTCTGGCTTTATGGTTTCTGATGAGAAATCAGCTGTTAATCTTCGGAGGGTTCTTTGTGCCTGATATGAGTCCCTTCTCTCTTGCTGCTTTTTGAGATGTCTTTGTCCTTTGATAATTTGATTATGACGTGTCTAGGTGTGGATCTCTTGGGCTTTATCCTAAAATTCACCGATTATCTCTTCTGCCCGCTCAATCTGCTGTTGGGCCGTTCAAGTTACTTTTTCATTTTGGTTATTGTGTGTTTCAACTACAGAATTTCTATTTGGTTTCTTTTTATAATTTCTATCTCTTTATTTTTAGACTCTATTTGTTGAGATATTACTGTCTTTGTTCCTTTTAGTTCTTTGCCCCTGGTTTCCTTTAACTCTAAGCATATTTAACATAGTTGACTTAAGTCTGAATAAGTCCAGTGTCTGGGCCTCCTCAGGGGCAGTCTATTGATTGCTTTTGTTCTTGTATATGGGCCATACTTTCTGGTTTCTTTTCATGTTTTGTGAAACAGCTTTCTTGTTTCTTTGCATCATATTGTCAAAAATGGACATTTTCGACAATATAATGTGGCCAGTCTGGAAAGTAGGTTGTACCCACTCCCGAGGATTTGTCATTGCTGCTTGTGGTAGTTGTTATTGTTTCTTTAGAGACTTTTCTCTGCTACTTTTGTGAAATCTGTATTCTTGGTCACGTATGGCCACTGAAGTCTCTGCTCAGTTGGCTTATTGGGCAGCTAATGCTTTCATAGGTATTTTCTTAAATGCTTGGAACCAATAAGTCTCCCAGGCTTTGCCAAGGGGCTCTGTGTGCCCTTGTGGCCCACTCAACACTCAGCCTTGGCTTCCACTTCCACGGAGCCTCAGACCTGCTCAGAGCTAAGGGCCTTCTAGGTCTTTGCTGAGCCTGTGCATGGCTTTCTAAATTCCCAGTAATAAGTTGGAGCTCTTCAAAGCCTCTGTGTACATCTCGTTACTCAGCTTTTTGTTTTTATCTTAGGTTAGCCTATTGCTCCCACCGTTACCCACTGTCTCAGGAAGCCATGAAGTTAAACAGTTACCTCTAAATATTTTTGACAAATGCCCCTGGGAAAAAGGCCTCCTGCACTGGGTGAGCTCTGGGTCAGGTCAGTGGAGGGTACCTGGCAAACGGGGATCTTCCTGGGAACCGAGAGATAGGTTGCATGACGGCAGTCCTCTGAGAATGAGGCTTTGGAGATGCTCGTGCCCTGCTCTGCGTGCTGTGTGGCAGCCAGGCTGCCGGTTTCCACTGTGACTGCAGCTGCTGGTTTGCAGAGTTCCCTTGGAGCTAGAGACAGGGTGGGAATAGGGCATTTAAAGTGCCAAAAAGCTCACTCTTACTACAGTAAGTGCTGCCTGGATTGTTGCAAGTCTTTGGTCAATTTTCTCAGAAAACTGGCAAAAATGGTCAGAATTAAAAATTTTGGTGAATTCTGGAAATTGACCAACATCACCTTCTTTTCTTTGTGGAGTTATAACTTTCCAGGCTCTTGGGAAAAGAAAGTATGTGAGCCATTCCCTTTCATTGTCACCATATATAACAGATTTTTAAGAAATATTTTTTACTGTGAAGCAATAGCTACTCATGTAACCGGTAAAATATGACATTGTCTGAATTAGGTAACCTGCCTTCCCACCTAACTCATATTTTCAGTTTGTGTATCTTTCTAGACTTCTTCCTGTGCCAACAAAAATACGCATATGATTTGGGTAGAAATGACATGGAGATGCCTTTCTCTCCAATGTTCTAATGTTTACGTGCCTGTGCGTGCACGGACAGACGCTTATAAGGCAAAAATGGGATCATGCTGTATGTACTTTGTCTGCTAATTGCTTTTTTTCACTTAAATAACACTTGAGGATTGTTTGTTGTATATCCTTTAAGGACTTTTCAGTGCATATTTGGATGTATGCATGTATGTTTGCACACATACTTTTTTTGTGAAGCAAAAGTGACATCATACTACATGCATTGTTTTGCCATTTGCTTTTTTCCTTGAATAAATCTTGGTGGTTCTTAGTTCTGTGCCTTTCTGGTGGTGGCTCTATATCATGTATTCATTCCTTCACTCAGCAGGCTGCTTGCGGTGCTGGCCCCACTGAGCGGCTGGGCTGTGATTGAGTCATCCTCGGTGGTGACTGTCTCCCTTGCTCCAGGGTGTTGCTGTTATCACGACTGCAGTGGACATGTTGTCTCTGTACTTTTTTGCGTCGTGCTAGTTTTTCTAGATTCCTTGTAGTTTTGCCAAGTTGGAGGCATGCACATTTTAAATTTTGATGTGTACCAGCAAGTTGCCTTTCAAAAGGTTACGCCAGTTTATCTTCCCACTGGCAACGTGAAATTATTTGTTAACCACATCCTCCCTGTTACTGGATATTATAACTTTAAAGATTCGTTAATCTCATTACCAGAATCTAGCCATGTAATTTTAAGGTGACTACTGCTTTGTTCCTTGCTTGTTTGAAGGGCTGGGCCTCGGAGACAGGGTTTCCTGGGGTGCCAGGCTGGTGGCCCCCTTCCCTACTTAGTGACGTGCATCTGCAAAGGTGGTGGCACCTCTTCCAGGGCAGGGCTGCAGCCCGTCTTAATCGTCTTCTGTCACTTACGCTGTTCTGTGTGTTCTCGTTGGCACAGTGCAGTCACAACAGCCAGTCATCTGATGCCCTCCTGTTGGTGTTTTAACAGGTAGCAACTGGGAAGTGGAAGCAGATAAGTAAATACTGTCCCCTCGATCTCTACTCAGGGTAAGGGAACGCTTCTCCTTTGCCCCCTGTGCCACATTCCCTGGAGGTGGGGGTGGTGTCCTATGGGAGATGTCCTGTGAGGTGGGGTGGGGGGGTATTTATGAGATAGGGCCGGGCTGGGGTGAGGAGTTCCTCTTCAGGGTCCCCTTTGCCATGAGCACCTGAATTCCCCGGGGCTTCGTGCTCATGGCTTGATGTGGTTGCTGACTTACTGGTTTTTCCCTCATCCAAATTGTGACCAGGTTTGACAAACCCTCGACTCCCACCCATGTGGACCCTCACAGTTGATAGTTTAAGCCTTTGCTCTCTTGCTACTCTGCAGATATTGAAAAGTGTGTGGCACTGGTGGCTGTTTCTGTGAGGGCAAGGCCTGCCTGCAGCCATTGGTTGGGGTCTTGGGTCTCTGCTGCCCTCCTGGGCCTGCCCCTCGCTCTCTGCGGCCTGGCAGCTTTGCTGTGCGCTCCGTGTGCTGCTTGCCTGGGCAGCCCAGGGTGCAGTCCCTGGCTCGGAGCCTTTGTGGGTCAGGAAGGCTGGCAGGTCTCCTGCCTCCCGTGACTGCTGCCTTGGCCAGGGTCCCTCATGTCTCCCTTGGGCCCAAGGGTCAGGACCACCCCCGCCCCCTGCCTCTGGCAGGCACGTACCTGGCTGTGGAGCCACATCTGTGACCCACTGGGGCGGGCAGCAGCCGTGAGGGCCTGTAGTTGGGGAGACGTCACTGGACCTAGGCAGGCTCTGGGTTTCCCAGTTCGGCCCCGGGAGCACTGGCATGTCCTCTGAGCCACCAGCAGGTGTGTGTGCAGAGATAGGTCAAGTCCAGCTGCTTTTAAACCTTGTCAACCCTTTCCCCTTCTAGAAACAAACAGAGAATGCACTTTGCCTTGAAGAGTTTGCTGCAGGAGGCACAGAACAACTTGAAGATATTTAAGGTAGGCTGCTTCCATTTTATGGTGGTTTCAGGGTGGAGCTGCAGGTGAACCCGCCGCGCTCTGTTTCTGATGACAGGATTTCGGTGACCACACAGACGAGGGCAAGAGGCTGGGCTGCCTCAGGCACAATCCTGCATGTCTGACATCCCCTTTGGGGGTCCTCACGTCCCCATTGTCCACACAGTTGTCCACACGTGCCTGTTGGCTTACACCTTCCAGCCCCAGACCTTGGCCCGTCTTTTTTCTGAGACTGTCCATAAGGACAACATGGGTGTGACCCCAGGTTGTCTGTAGCCCTGGGGTACACGATGTCAAAGCCTTGGCCACTGCTAGGTTGGCCTCAGTCTCCCCTGATGTGTAGATAGGTGAACCTTGGCCAAGGGTGGTTCTGGCACTGTCCAGCTGTCGTCCTGACCTGGGGGGGTCACTGAGGCCCTGGGGCTGCCTGGCCTACTGCTGGGAGTGGGGCCCGAGGGGACAGGAGGAGAAGGTGGAGCCAGTAGGGTTGGGGCGTCAGCAGAGGAGAGGCTGTGGGAGGAAGGGGACGAGGTGGGGGGCAGGGCTGGCCTGGGTGGCAGGTGGCTGTGCCTTTTGCCCATGTTGGAGACATGTTCTCTGGGGCCCCCCTTGTCATTGCCCCAGTCCTCATCCTAGCCTCATGAACTGTCACACGTAAGTGGCAGCTGGGGACGAGATCCTGGGCTTCCTGCAGGAGCTGGGCCCCTGGCAGCCCTCACAGGCATTGGATCTGAGTACGGAGGCCAGGTCACTGGGCGCCGGTCTCTCGGCTCCTGGTGCCGTGGTCTGGAGGAGGGAGCTGACGGACTGAAGCCCTGTCCTCTCTTGCTGCTGCGTGTGGCCCGTGGCCTGCTGCCCACCGGACATCTCAGCAGTGGGTGGGTGGGCCTTTCTTGACCCGCCTCCCTGGGTCTGGCTCAGAAATCCTGCTGTCTCGGGCACGGCCAGAGTGAGTGGTTTTATTCCCTGTCCGCCTCCACCTTCCCAAACGTAGGAAAGGAAGACATATTTCAAAGGCAGTTTTTAATTTTTAACTCTTTTTTTTAAGGACTTAAGGAATAGATTCCCATTCATTGGGGGATTTGTTTGAAGCCTGTGGTGAGGGTGGCATTTTGTCCTAAGTGGACCCTTTTCTGACCTTGTCAGACCCACACCTAAGGTCCCCAGGGCCCGGGAGCCTGGCTGGCTGCCACTTCTGTTAAAGTCAGCATGGAAAAATCCTGAGATTAATGAATTCTTTCAAAAGAAATGGATTAAGAGAAGTGACACGGAATTGCTTTTTAAGATGACAGGACAGCACCGTGACACATTATCCATCCTGCATTCCCAGCTTTCCTGAGCAGTCCAGGCCTCCAACCTTGTGCAGCTTAGTGCTCAAACCCAGCAAGGCAGAAAACTCCCAAAGCTCTGCAGTTCCGGGTGTGGAGAAGCTGCCTGGGTCGTGGTCAGTGACCCCACACTGGACACTTGTGATGAGAGGCACTGGGGGCTTGTGGGGTGTTTGACACGGAGCTGCTGCTCTGCTGCCCGAGTAATGGACACCCTATGAGGTCCTTGAGTGGCTGTATTTGTACATGTCAGATGCCACCCACCTGCTGCAGACCTCGGCCTGTGCCCCCAGCCCACCTCCTGCCTGCCTCTGGTGCTGGACACATCCCAGCCCCCGCCAGCGTTGCCAGCAGTGGTCTCAGTCGTGTCCCCATCACACTGAGGGCTCAGACAGTGCCCAGAACAGGAGACTTCCAGGGAAGGTTCCACAGGACCCAGTGAGGGAAGAGAGCCCATCCACACCTCTTGAGAGCTGGGATTGTCCCCATCTGTGGCAGCTAATTATCGCAAAACTTAGCTTGAAACAACCGCTTGTCCCCTCACAGTTTCTGGGGCTGGGAGGTGAGGAGCAGCTCAGCTGGTTCTGGCCTGGCGTCCCTGGAGGCTGGGGCTCACCTGAAGGCTTGCCTGGGGCCAGCAGTCTCAGTGCCCAGCCTGTGGGACTCCCCAGGGCTGCGCATTGTGGCCTCTGTGATCCTAGGAGAGCCACCAAGACAGAGGCCATGGGATCTTTTGTAACTTAATCTTGTAGGTGGTGTGCCCTTGTTTCTACCCATATTCTGTTGGTCACACTGATCAAACCTGGCGTGGAGGGGACTCCAGGGTGTGTCAGGAGGAGGCAGGGGCTATGAGGGGCTGTCCTGGAAGTGCTGATCACGCCATCTTAGGGATAAAGGAATGAGGTTCAGACAGGTTCACCACTCTCCTGGGGTTGGCTGCTACTCCGGGGCCTTTTCCCCGGACACCACACGAACACCCATACAAGTTGGTGTTGGGCCCACTGGGTACGTCAGCAGATGTCCCTGCCTACATCTGAGTGGAAACATCTGAATCCCAGCATTACTGCTGTAAAGAGTTTCTTTGCTGGGCTGGGCTTGGTTTAAGAAGGCAGGATGTTCTCAAACATGAAGGTTTCCACACTGGTGACGCCGCAGCTTCTCCCACCGCAGCTCGTGGCTCAGGCTGCACCACCCAGCACTGGGGTCACCCTGGGGCCTGGCCCCGAGCCCAGGTCATATTCTTCCACGGTGATGGCGCTGACTACAGACCGTTGCTCTCATACAGTTGCCTGCTCCTGGCCAGGGCTGAGTCCCTTGACTTCGAAGTAGCCGGGCTGGTGTCTTTGGGAGTTTGTTGTTTTGTGCTGAGAGCATTTATTCATGGCTTCCAAATGTGCTGTGGCTCACCAAGGGTGCTTGTCCGGCCAGGGCACTGGTCTTCAGAGATTTTTTTGTTGGTTCTGTTTCCTTTTTTGGGGACAGGGTCTCACTCTGTTACTTGGGCTAGAGTGCAGTGGTGTCATCATAGCTCACTGCAACCTCAACCTCCTGGGTTCAGGTGATCCATCCTCCTGCCTCAGCCTCTGGGTAGCTGGGACTACAGGAAAGCATGCCACCATGCCTGGCTAATTTTTGTATTTTTTGTAGAGACGGGTCTTGCCGTTTCCCAGCCAGGCTGGTCTTGGACTCTTGGCTTCAAGCGATCTTTCCACCTTGGCCTCACAGAGTGCTGGATTGTAGGTTGTGAGCCAGTGTACCCAGCCTGGCCTTCAGTTTTTGAAAACTTGTCCTCCTTTTCATTCTCAGTAGGCTATGCCACTTGGTTGATGGCACAGCAGGTGAAGGTGGGTTTCCCTGAAGGAACTAGCGCGTGTGCCGACCCCAGGTGGGGCAGTCTATACAGTGGGGCTCTTTGCTCGCACCCTGTGCACGCACCTCGCGTGTGGCGGGCACTAAGGTATTGTCCTACACATTTGTTGGATCGATGTTTCCCTCTCTCACTTCCCCACCTAAAGAACGGTGAGCTGATTTACGGCTGCAAGGACGCCCGGAGCCCCGTGGCTGACTGGAGTGAGCTCGCACACCACCTGAAGCCGTTCTTCTTCCCCTCCAATGGCCTGGCCAGCGGGCCCCACTGCACAAGGGCAGTGATCCGGGAGCTGGTGCACGTCATCACGCGGGTACTGCTTAGCAGCTCGGACAAAGGCCGGGTGGGCGCCTTGAGGCTGCGGCCGGGGCCCCGGGGCCCACGTGTCTGTGAAGCCAGCCCTTTCAGCAGGAGCCTACACTGCCAAGGTAGGGCCCAGCCTTCCGTGGGGCCTCAGGACTGTCCAGTCCCCATGGGTGGCCAGGTAGAGTCGGCAAAGTGACCTGGCCTCATGGTGTGTCCGTGGGCATCGCTTGGGCTTCCCAGCGTGGGGCTTTGCTGCCTCTCACACCTGGGTGGAAACTCCCTCTTCCGCCTTTTATCTGGGTTCATAAATTGCAGGACACACTTGGGCGTAGGGCTTTCCCAACAGTATTGTCCATCTGTCTGTGCATTCTCTCAGCCATTTGCAGGATGTTTTCAACTGTGTTTGAGCCTCATTGCAACCCTGGGGGCAGGTTTTCTTCAGCCTGTTTCTTCGACAAGGAGAACTGAGGCATGAAGTCCTTTGCTGGGAGGCCTGACCGCCTTAGGGTGTCTTCACTAGCCTGGGATGAAGACACAGGCTCTTGGGGCCACAGACAGGCAAGAGCTGAGCCAGACCTGGCTGCTGCTGTGTGTCCCGATGTCTCACGAGCTGAGGCCGCTCGAGACTCTGGGTGGGAACCTAAGGACAGTTTGAAGACAGCGGCTCCACTTATGGGCGACCAGAAGCTCACCTGTGCCCCGGGCCCTGCCTTTCTCTCTGCTCCCCATGCCGATGTTTTCTTACCACAGGTGAATTCTGTGGGATTTTTTTTCTTGTTACAAAAGTGATTCCTGATCATTTCAGAAAATTTTGGTAAAATTATGACCATAATCTGGGCAATATAACTGCTTTATGGCGCCCGTCACTGAGGTGGTCTGGGGCACTAAGAAGAGGCACCCCAGCGCCTGCACGTCCCCAGGTCGTCCTAGACGCACACCCAGGAATGAGCACAACCCGTGGGAATTTTAACTTTTAAAACAATAAGTTCATACTCCACGTTATTTATAACCTGATTTTTTAACTTAGCATAAATCTGCATCTATATCAGCAAATGTATTTATTCAACTTTTATTGACCATGTATCCAATATTCTACCACATGGATGTCCTGTAACTTTAACACATCCCCTCCAGTTGGGCCTGTGAGCTTTTATTCCTATTTTCCTCTGTGTCTGGTGTGGCTGGGGCTGTCCCCGCGGCAGTGGAGCCCAGCGAGCGCGCGCTGGTGTCTGAGTGTAGGGCCCTGGCGGGATCTGCAGGAGGCCGTGTGGTTCTCCTGCGTGGACTGGCTCCTCACCGCCTTCGCCTGTAGTTTGGTCTTCGCGGGAGACGGTTGCTCCCTTTAGAGGTAGGAGATGGTTTGCGGTTTGGTGTCTCCCAAGCTCACTTGGCACCTTGTCTACAGCAGGTGTCAGAGAACCGTGAGTTTTGAATGGAGTTTTGTTTCTGCATCTGCCATACAGTAACAGGTCCTTGTCGGTGGCTTTGACCACTGGCCACTGTCTGCGTGGCCAGCCCAGGCCTCACCTGCGTCTCAGCGTGGGCTCGTGGCTCTGGACTCTGCAGACAGGGTCCTGGGGTTGTCCTCCCTTAGTGATCTTACAGATTTGGGGATGTCAACATGATCTTTTGAAATTCTGTGCCTTGTCTTATTTAGAATAAAGATTTTCTTTCTAAACTTAAACCATAAAGTGACTTCTGTGACTGGTGGAATGGAAAGGATGCTCTGAGGAGAGTTGTTTGGAGAGGCAAGGCACAAAGGGAGACGCCAAGGTCTCTTGCCCTTCCTTTGTACACGGCCTGGTGCGTCCAGCATGGTCCAGGCTCGTGCCAGCCCTGTGAGGCTGGCACGTCATCTGCCCTTAGTGCCAGGCCAGGGTCTAGTCCTTGCCTGTGGTGACGCCCGTGTGGCTGAGCCCAGGGTGAGCCCTGTGGTCTGCGCCGGCCTATGTCTCCCCCACATTCTTCCGTCTTTGATAATCAACCTGCTCTCGTTTTCCCCTGATGTTCTTGGTAGGAAAAAACACCCCAGAGCGCTCCGGGTTACCGAAGGGCTGTCTTCTGTACAAAACCCTCCAGGTGCAGATGTTGGACCTGCTGGACATCGAAGGCCTCTACCCTCTGTACAACCGGGTTGAGCGGTACCTGGAAGAGTTTCCTGAGGAGAGGTGAGGCCAGGCAGTCCCCCTCCTGGGCAGCCCTGAGGGGAGACCATGGGGGTGGACAGGGTCAGAACAAAACTCCCAGGGCCCGGCTTCCCCAGAGGACAACACAGATCAGCCACACCCTGCCCCAGGGGCCATGGCTCGCGAATTCAGTGTCTTGTAAGGCAGGACCAGGGTCCATGTGAAATTAGTGCTCACTTACTGGTTTCTAGAAAAGAAAGCACATCTGTGCACCTGACAATTCCAAAATCCCGAGTCAGGGCCGAACCTGTAGAGGGCAGTGTTGCTCCACCAGCCGGGCGGCTGCTTGAGCTGCTGCATCAGCAGAGCCACAGACCCTGGACTTGCGCTGGAGGTCACTGGGGTCCACGCCTGCAGTGTCTGGCGGGACCTGGATCCTGTCCTTCTCACTAGCCTTCACTTGCATCTCTGACCCAGGACGCCACTTGTCAGGAACAGAAGGGGTCTCAGCTTCAGAGCTCCCTAGTTCTGGTCTTGCAAGTTTCTATTTAAAACCTCGGCACTTCAGAACCAAGTTTAATATGAGGAAGCGATGGATCCGTTAGGTGCTTTTTAAAATGAAACGTGTGATTGTTAAATGGTGCTACAGGATGGTAGACCGTGTAAACACTTTAAGAAACAATTTCCAGGCGACTTCGTCATCCTGTTTTTATTGTGCTTTCTTCTTCAGAAAAACGTTGCAAATAGATGGGCCTTATGATGAAGCATTTTACCAGAAGCTGCTTGATCTTTCCACCGAGGATGACGGGACAGTGGCCTTTGCGTTAACGAAGGTGGGCAGACCCATCTGGAAACATGTGGTGTGCTCCTTAGGCTCTTAGCACTAACTTGGGTTTTTCCACTACCTACCCCTGAGGATTAAAGCAGAAAAATTGAGGATCTAAAACAGAAAGTAGCCGATGTTTCCGCCAGATGGACCAGGGCAGGGGATGGTACGTTTAGCTTTTGAGGAGGGTTTCCCTTGGTTCAGTTCTGCCCCAGCCTGTGCTGTCCTGAGCGGGGTGTATTCCCTGGTTGGGCCAGGCCCCAGGGATGGCCCATCTTCATTTCTTCTCAACAGCCTGGAATGGGCTCCCTACCAACCGTCCCTTTCCTCAAAGTCCTCGCTAGGGGGCCTGGGCCCCACCTGCGCCTCTCTTCCTCAGAACGCAGGCCGAGGAGCAGCCTGGGAGAGTCTCCTAGGGAAGACGCCGGGTCCCGTACTTTCTGGTTCTGTGAAATTCAGGGCTCTGTGAATGTGAATAAGAAAAAAATTGCATCTTTATTTTCACTAACTTTTACCTGAAATTTAGCATTTCCTTCCATTGTGAATGTGGCAGGACCCAGGATTCTGCCACTAAGAGAAATCAGACCTTTCACCTCTCACACTGTAGTTGCAGACTGCTCCAGATGTCGTTCTAGTCATCACTGCCTGAGATGCAATGTATTACTATGGAACACATTTGTTTTTAAAAATATTTTGGTATTTTACCTACACCCTCTATATTTTATGCACTTAAAAATGTTATTCTGAGGCCGGGCGCGGTGGTTCACGCCTGTAATCCTAGCTCTCTGGGAGGCCGAGGCGGGCGGATTGTTTGAGCTCAGGAGTTCGAAACCAGCCTGAGCAAGAGCGAGACCCCATCTCTACTAAAAAAAAAAATTGAAAGAAATTAATCGGACAACTAAAAATACATAGAAAAAATTAGCCAGGCATGGTGGCGCATGCCTGTAGTCCCAGCTACTCAGGAGGCTGAGGCAGGAGGATTGCTTGAGCCCAGGAGTTTGAGGTTGCTGTGAGCTAAGCTGACACCACGGCACTCTAGCCCGGGCAACACAGTGAGACTCTGTTTCAAAAAAAAAAAAAAAAATGTTATTCTGAAAGGGGTCCATAGGCTTTACTAGGCTGCCAAAGGTTTTATAAGACACTGAAACAGTGAAGAAACTCCGTTCTCTAGGGGGTGAGGCGATGCTCCTCGTGCCCACATGCTCAGCGGCGCTGGAGCCCTGGGCCTCACCTGTCCTGTCCTGTCCACATGTCTGTGGTTCCACTTGGGAAAGACCCTTCAGTGCTTCTCTGGCTGAGGATGCAGCTGTAGGTTTTTGAGGAGGACTGAGGGTGTCTTGTAGAGCCTAAACTGAACCCCTGAAGCCAAAGGCCGTAGCAGAGTTAGCCAAAGCTAACGGCAGATCTGTCCTCGGGGCGGGGAAGGTTGCAGGTGGAGCCTCTGGGTCAGGATAAAGCAATGGAGTCTGCCATGTGCTGTCCAACTTGAGTGCATTGATTTAGGAATAAACAGCAGCATTGCTTTTTTTTATTTTCAAGAGAAAAAACAAGACTTTATTTTCTTTTTTATACATTTCTATATTTTAAGTTTCCTGCTAAATAAGTATGGATTACTTTTTAATTTTATTTCAGTCTTTAAACGGCATAATGTATACGCAATTTTGATGTAAATGGCTAGAGTAGGCATGGCACACCTATCAGAATGGCTAAGATAAAGACAGTGGGACAACATGGAACGCTGGCGCAGAGAAATGGGATCTGTCATCCGTTTCTGACGGGGATGGAATAGAAGGGTCTGCTCTTTCTCTCTCTCAGGAAGTCAGGTTCCGCTAATTGCATCTGAAGAGGATGGTTGTGAAGCTGAAGCTGGGGAGTGGGTTGAGAACATGCCTGCACAAAAGTTCCTTCATGCATGTCGTTTGTCTGGTTGAACCTTGTAGCTGTGAAGGGAGCTGTGAAGGGAATACTGTCTTCATTCTAGTGCTCAGGAGACTGAGCCCACAACAACTCTTGCATTCACCTGTCATGTGGGGTTCCGTAGCAGGGGTTAGCAGACTTTCTGTAAAGGGCCAGAGAGTAAGGCATTGTAGGCCGTCTGGTCCCTGTTGCAGCTACTCACTTCTGCCTTTGTAGCTCAAAAGCAGGCACAGACAAAATGAAACAAGCAGGACTGTGTCCCAGGAAAGCTTTGTCTACAAAAACAAGTGGTGGTGGGCTGGACCTGGCCCCTGGCCTGTAGTTTGCTGACCTCTGTGCAGTTTTGCTTGTTTTTTTTTATATTCCATTCTTTGTTCTACTGGTTTGGAAGTTGTACCTTCTGTTTCTCTCCCTTCAGTGGTTTCTTGTCCAGTTTGACCCTGCATACTTAAAGTCTAAAGTTAATCAGTTATGTAACACCTCAACCCCCACACAATATAAGGACTTGGGACACTTAATTCCAGTAGTCCATCCAGCTTATGTGTAGTTATTGTCTGGCATCCTGTTGGTCTTGTTTTTTCAAAGTCCTAATTTCGAGTATTATTTTATACAGATGTTCATTTAGATTTATCCATGAGTTCGCACATATCATTGCCTGATGCTCTTGCACCTCAGATCTTTCTCCTTTTTCTTTTTTTCTGTGATAGCCTTATTGAGATATAATTTATATACCATACAATTTACCTATTTATAGTATACAATTCAGTGGTTATTACTGTATTCACAGATAATGTGAAACCATCACCACAGTTACTTTTAGAGATTTCCATCACTTCAATAAAAACCCCACACCCTTTGCTATCATCCCATTGTCTCCCCATCGCCCCAGCCCTAAGCAGCAACTTACTCACTTTCTATCTCTATAGACTTGTCTATTCTGAGTATTGCATGTAAATGGAATCATTTAATGTGTAGTCCTTTGTGGTTGGCTTCCTTCACTTAGCATAATGTTTTCAAGGTAGGTTCGTCCATGTTGTAGCATGTATCTGTACTTCATTCCTTTTCACAGCTCAATAATAACTCTGTTGTGTGGACATATCCATTCATCAGTGAATGGACATTTGGTTGGTTCCACTTTTGGGCTATTCTGATCAATGCTGCTATAAATATTTGTGTAAAAGTTTTTGCATGTTTTCACTTTTCTGGGTTATATACCTAGGAGTGGAATTGATGGGTCCAATGGTAACTTTATGCTTAATTTTTGAGGACCTGCCAGATTGTTTTCCAAAACCACTGTACTTTTTACCTTCCCACCAGCAGTGTATGAAGTTTCCTATTTTTCCACGTCCTCACCAACACTTATTTATACCTGTCCTTTTGATTTTCGCTGTCCTAGAGAGTGTGCAGTGGCATATTGTTGTGATTTTAATTTGCATATCTCTGAAGACTAAGAACATCTTTTTGTGTGTTTGTTGCCCATTTATATATCTTTGGAGAAATTTCAGATCCTTTGCCTGCTTTTTAATTGTCATCATGTTGAGCTAAGAATTCTTTGTATATTCTGGGTACTAGCAAATATATGATTGGCAAATATTTTCTTCCATTCTGTCAGTTGTTTTTTTTATATTCTTGATAACGTCTTTGTACATTTTTAATTTTGATGAAGTCTAGTTTATCTATTTTTTCTTAAGTTTATACTTTTGGTATCACACCTAACAATTCATTGCCAACAAATCTAAGGTCATGAAGATTTTCCCCTATGTTTCCTTTAAGAGTTTTATAGTGTTAGCTCTTACATTTAGATCTTAGATCCAGTTTGAGTTAATTTTTATATATGATTTGAGGTAGAGGGTCCAATGTCATTTTTTTGTATATAGATATCCAGTTGTTCCAACACCATTTGTTGAAGAGACTATTCTTTTCCCATTGAATGGTCATAATGTTCTTGAAAATCAATTGACTATAGATGTACGAGTTTATTTCTAGACACTCAATTATGTTTCTTTGATCTATATGTCTATACTTATGCCAGTACCCTGTGTTGATTACTGTTGCTTTTTAGTAGGTTTTGAAATGGGAAAGTGTGAGTCCTCCAACTTTGTTGTTCTTTTTCAAGATCGTTTTGGCTGTTTGGAGCTCTTTGTAATTCCCTATGAATTTTAGAATCAGCTTGCCAATTTCTACAAAGAAGCCAGCTAGATTATAATAGAGATTATGGGGAATCTAGATCACTTTGGGTAGTAATTCTTCTGATCTGTGAACATGGGTATTTTTCCATTTATTTAGATCTTTGTTTTCTTTCAACATTGTTACTTAGTTTTCAGAGCATAAGCTAAGGTTTTGTGCTTCTTTTGTTAAATTTATTCCTATTAATAATTTTTTCTTTTTTGAGACATGATCTTGCTCTGTCACCCAGGCTAGGGTGCAGTGGCATCATCATAGCTCACTGCAACCTCAAACTCCTGGACTCAAGCAGTCCTCCTGCCTCAGCCTCCCAAGTAGCTGGGACTACAGGTGCATGTCACCATGCCTGGCAAATTTTTCTATTTTTTTTGTAGAGATGAGCTCTTGCTCTTGGTCAGACTGGTGTCAAGCTCCTGGCCTCAAGTGGTCCTCCCAAAGTGCTAGGATTACAGGCATGAGCCACTGTGTCTGGCCTAAATATTTTATTCTTTTTAATGTTATTGTAAATGGGCTTGTTTTCTTAATTCTGTTTTCAGATTGCTCACTGCAGCTGTATAGAAATATAATTTGTTTTTGTATATTGATCTTATAACCTGCAACCTTGCTGAATTTATTTATTAGTTCTAATAGTTTTTTAGTCAATTCCTTAGGATTCTCTCTATTTAAGATCATCTGTGAATAGAGATAGTTTTACTTCTTCCTTTCCAATTTAGATGTCTTTGATTTATTTTTCTTGTGTGATTGCCCTGACTAGAACCTCCAGTCCAGGGTTGAATAGAAGCGGACATCCCTGATTTGTTCTTGGCCTTATGGGGACAGTATTTAGTCTTTCATCATCATACGTGATGTCAGTGGTAGGCTTTTTGTAGATATCTTTTATCAGGTTGAAGAAGTTCCCTTCTCTTC